GGCGGCTTCTTGCCGCTGCAACGGATCCTAGGCCTCCTTGCAGCGGGCCTGGGCATCTATGTCAGCTGTGGCCTGAAGCCGCTGCTTTTCAGCTGCTACCTCGGCTTCAGCCTGTAGGCCGGCAGCCTCGGCCGCCGCCTGGCGCTGTTCCTCAACCTCGATCAGTGCGAGCTGAGCTCGGATCCGCCGTTGGTACTCGGCAATGGACTCGCTGGCCAGTTGGCCTGGCATGCCCAAAACTGAAACCGTCATGGTGGCGGGGCACTGCTGACGTGGCGCTGCTACTGACGTGGCACTGCTGCTGATGTGGCACTGCTGACGTGGCACTTGTGGCATACTGCGCAGCCACACGGGCCTGCAGGGCCCGACCAGCGTTCGCAGCCTAAAAGCCTGAAAACAAGGGCTTACAGGCCCTGTGTCGTTTCAGCCTGAAAGCCTGAAAACGAGGGCCTGCAGGCCCTATGTCATTTCAGCCTAAAACAGGGCCTTCCAGGCCCTGAGTCTTTTCAGCCTGAAACGGAGGGCCACTTTCCAGGCCCTCATAAGATCGACCTGCCCTAACATTCAGGCACCAAAGCAGGGTTTTAGGAACATGCTATTTTTGGCCTGTTCCCACGACAGCCTCAGCAGGAGCTGCAGCGCCAGGCCCTGGCTCGTTTTGGCATTGGCAAGAGCAGCCTCCTGGACTGGCCCGCCCTGCAACTGGGCCTGCAAGGCCCGACCAGCGTTCACAGGCCCTGTGTCGTTTCAGCCTGAAAACCTGAAAACGAGGGCCTGCAGGCCCTATGTCGTTTAAGCCTAAAACAGGGCCTTCCAGGCCCCGAGTCTTTTCAGCCTGAAACGGAGGGCCACTTTCGGGCCCTCATAAGATCGACCTGCCTTGACATTCAGGCACCAAACCAGCGTTTTAGGAACAGGCTATTTTTTTGGTCTGTTCCCACGACAGCCTGCAGCGCCAGGCCCTGGCTCGTTTTGGCATTGGCAAGAGCAGTCTCCTGGACTGCCCCGCCCTGCAACTGCAGGCAGTCGGAGGCAGTCAGGAGGCAGGCCGAGGTAGTACATAGGGAGTTCCCATGCACTTCACGGGTAGGCAGAAGGCATGAGTAGTCTTCAGGATTCGGCAGCAGCACTCTGGAGGAGCGCCGCAGGAGTAGCTTGAGCGCTAGCAGTAGTCTTCAGCGCTGGGCACTAGTAGCTGTAGTGGTAGTCTTCAGCGCTGGGCGCTGTAGGAGTAGATCAGTGTTGGAGAGAGAGATGGCTGGCGGAGGCCAGGGAGACTTACCTGTGGCGCCATAGCTCCAGCTTCATCTTCGAGGTACCTGCATCAAGGCGCCAACTTCACAGGTTAGTACTAGACTGAGAGAGAGAGAGAGAGAGAGAGAGAGAGAG